AGTCCCCGATTCCTTGTGATGTTCTTTAACTTTAAGGCTTGAGGAATCCTTGAGGAAATGTGTGTTTCAAGTTGATTTGACATTTCACTCAGGTTTAGCATTTGTTAGAGCTGTATTGTAAAAGGCCGTCTTAACCAAAGACCACGGTGGTTGACCCTTGTAAAACACCAAACCAGCTATTTGTTGTGAAGGGTGTGATAGTGTCGTTGTGTGCCATTTTTTTTAAATCAGCTCTGGGTGTTGATATCGACCTGCTGATCATTTTAAAACTCATCTGAAGTACTAAATCGTGGCTCACTGGGTTTTCCTGCACTGCTATCTACTGTAGTTGGCTCTTCCCTAAGTTGAGTGTACTCAGCTTTTAACAGGCAGTGCTGTTCACTCTTGGTTGAAACCCTCTAGGTCGCCAGGATCAGTGGCATAAATATTATAGAAATGAATAACTGGTATTTTTTGCATGGAATGCTCAGTGATAGTACTGGCTGATCCCCTCGCCTCCTCACTGTGCCCTTCTAGTTTCTCTGCTTCCTGTTTGTATTACTGACCCCTACAATGTTGTGTAAATCTGGTGTACACTGAATTTTTCTGAGTTTAGCACAACTGTAACCACTGTGTGCATGCTAGCAGTTCTGAAGAATTTTACGCGGGCAGGGTTCCTTTCTTGTTACTCTGCATGCCAACAAACAGTATGTACTCTGAATTCCTTATCTGCTTATTTACAGTAGCTCCTGCGTGTCTGTTTATTTGTCAGAGCCGAATTCTGCCTCCTCTTTTGCTTCCTCACACTTCTCTCTAGACTCTGTAATGAGGGAAAACTGACAAAGCAGCTCAAGTAATACTATTTACATGACCCCAGATGATAAAGGGCATCAGAAAAGAGCTAGACCCTTTTACTAAAGTGTACCCAACGAGTTCGGGACAATTACACTTGGTCATGCTCTTAATCAGTCTTATCTCATTTTATTTTAGTTAAGCCCACTTCTGGAGCTCTTGGCTTAAAAAAAAAAAAAACAACAACAACAAAAAAGATTTAGAGTACTCAATGCTATACTTTTTATTTTACACCACCTTTGGTACAGAAATATTATAAAATATTGGTAAAAAAGAATAAAGTACTCTACATATTAGGTTTGGACCAGGTTTAGTGTAAACCTTGCAGTGGCTGGATTTACAGATTTTATTTTTTACTTTAATGTGATGCATATCATATTTGCACATGTTGTCTGCTAATGAGGAGAATTATCTTTTCACAATAGTGTCTAAACAGTAATAAGATCACATCATTAAAATAAAATTGGGATCTCTACCTAGGTTCATTTGTTAAAGCAGAAAGCATCTGTATCGGTCTATGTAATGAGATGATGTAGGCCATACTGTTACTGGACACTCGTGACATTTTCCTCAGGCTAGATCTGAAATGCATGTGGGATAGAAGAATCAGTGCTTTGCATTCGTCAACTGTGAGTGAAAAAAAAAACCCACACTTTGTTAGCCACATTAGCCGTTTTCCATTCATAGAAAAAAAAAACAACATTATTAGCAATCCCTTAATGTCATTTTCATTTTCTTCGGTTTTTCGGTCAAATTTGTCATATGTTATCATAGTCTTTTAGTTAATGTGTTGACTGTGTTTATGTGGAATTGTCCATGTCAGATACACAACATTCTACCTCTTCAATAAAAATATCAAAGCCTGGGGAACACAAAACCAAATTAAGTCATAGTTAAATGTGCTCTGTGTTGGGAAACCTGTATTAAAAGATACATATCAGCTTAATTTTCTGAGCTTGTTGTTATGTTTTGATTATTGAATAGCCAGGCACTTTTGTCTTGGTCAAAACAGTGTTCACATCTTTTATGATTTAGTATCAGCATAATCTGTCTTTTGTCTATTTTAACAGTTAAGTATACTGTAGCTTAATTTGAAAAAAGTGGAAACATAGTAAAATACCTGGATTGTAAATAGCAGATGCATGCTTTCTTCTCAGTGTTTTAAGTGTTGGCTCATTGTTTGCTTCCAATTGTGGTCGCATCTTTTTTCGAATCTATCCGTCTGTCTTCTGCTAACTTTAACATAAATAGCCACTCTTCAAATCCAACATGCAAAAACTACCAACATTAAGTTGAATTGTATCATCCCCATACATGCAAAAACTACCAAATGGACTGTTTGTCATTTAGAAACCCAGAGCAGGTTTTGATCTTGTTTTATTCCTGGCTTGTCTGCTGTTATTGCTGTTGTGTTGCACTGAGCAGATGATGCCCAGTCACAGTATGGACTTACCAGTTCCTAGAGGTACTAGCATGCCCATGCTAGTTCACACCATACAAAAACTGTAATGCAGATGTACCCTGTTTCTATGACATAGTATGTTTCAGTGACCAGCTTTTCTTTCAGCTCCAATGGTAAGTCTTGCTTTATGTGCTGTAAAAGTCAGGCACACTAGCCAAATAACCTTGAGTTCTGTTTTTTTTTTCCTTAAGGTATACTGTGATTGTCAACTTAATTTTGAGTGTGACATGTTCTGAATTTGTACAGTCTGAAGTTGGATTCAAAATTACATTTTGGAATAACCGAGTCCCTCTATCTAATTGTAATTTTAAAATGAGGACACAAATCATAGCAGTCAGTCTCACTTTTGCACTTTTTCAGTCAGAACACATCATTAAAACTTATATGGCTAATGGCACAGTTTTAACAGCATCATTGTGGTCAGAGATTACAGCTAATTTAGCAAGGTAGATCAGGTCAGGAGTGTTTAAGATCAGGTGTCCTGAAAGCATCTTGGTTTTAAGATCATCTCCTTTATTTAACATCAGCAGCAAACTGTGGGACTGTGTGAAAACAAATGGGGGAATAAAGCCATATAAGCTGTATATAGTATGTCCAGGTCAAAAAACACTTTGTACATTTGAGAATTTTGATCAGATATTATTACTGACATTGAGCGTTTCTTTAGGAATGGTATCGTAATTCAGCACTGAGCTCAGGTACAGTGTGGGTGAACTCTGCTGTAGATGATCTCATACCAAAGATGACAAGGAATTTGGACCTGACCTTCTAAACAATGACATGTTTATTATTCTGTACTCTGCATGGCTTTTGACTGCTTTTTCAACTAGTGGCTGGCTCCGTGTATGTATGATTGTACAGTGTATACCTGTGCTGTGCTCACATTTGCTTAATACTTCTCTTAATGTTTAAGATGTTATTTAGATGAATTGCTTTGCTATATGCTCTTGTTGTCTTCCTGCTCTTACCTTGTTTTTCTAGGGCCAAGGAATGTTGCCTTATTTTGCTAACTTCCGACTGCTTGCTGAGTTTTCTACACCATGTGTGAACCAGCGGTACGTAAATTAGTTGTTATAAAGTTTAATTACATGAAGGTAATTCACCTCTGGCTGTGTGTTCTCTTTGTGTTGGTTCTCTAATATCATATGATGTTTTCAAATCTATTTTACACTGTTTATCTAGATAAAGCTAAAGGCATAACTAACCTCAGTCATGTGACTGTTTTTATGTCAAGTAACAAGTTACTTGTGATTGTTTTAATGAAAAGGCTGGTCATTTTTTATATTCTATAAAATATTGTAAAAAATTATGTCAGTTCGGCACATATGAAGCAACATTTTAAACAAATACCAGGGTCTGGTGTTTCGTAATAAAGTAATGGGGGGTGATGGGGAGTGTTGAAACTACTGTTAATATGGAAAATGACCAGCCTTATCCTTCAGACTTATTTGTATTTACTTTATCTTACTAGTCCACTGTTTTCTCAATGATGTGTTGTGTTTCAGCTGGTTCTTTGAGGTACTAGGTTATCCAAAGTCCTCCCGGCCCAACATAGCAAATGGTGTTGCCATGGCAGTAGTCTTTTTCATGGTCCGCATCGCTGTCATGCCAGTCTACTACAGTCGTATGTATGCAGTCTATGGCACTGAGGCCTTCTATCTGGTGCCCTGGGGTGGCCGTGTAGCCTGGATCTGCTCCAGTATCTGCTTGGACATCATGAACATTATGTGGATGCATAAGATTGCTCGTGGCTGCTACAAGGTGCTGCGCTCTGCACGCAATGCCAGGACACCTCACGAGAATGGGAAGACGGATTAACGGAACTGAGGCGTCAGTGGTGAGAAAGGCCGCAATACAGACAAAATAACTTCAGTGTTGGGGCATTGACAAGCAGCAGTTTGGACCCTTTGTATGTCAGGATGCTTCAGTGGAAGTATAGCTGCAACTTGTTACCGGATGGAATGAAATGAGGGAAGCTGCTTTTTTTTTTTGGAAGGCAGGCACAGACACGAAGATGTACTGATGGACCAATTAAAATGGCCATTCATAAGCCATCAAATGACTTCTTAGCAATACTAAGTGTACATGGTCAATTATTTTTGTCTTGTTCAGTTTATCTCTACACAAAAGTGGTAGTCCCGGGACGAGGGACTGTTAGCCCAACCACAAATTGTCAGAAGTTTACTGTCCTTTACATACAAAATGAATACAACAAAAGACTTTAAAATATTCTTTTTTTAGTGTTTTTGCTGGTTAAATCACAGAAAAAAAAATAAAACTGTAATTTATGTTGACGAGGAAGCAAAGATTTAAGGGAACATGCAGTGATTTCACAGCAGTGTTCAATGCCATACAGTTATTGTCAGAGTTTTGTTGAGAAAGGTGAGTTAGGCATGTTTTTTCTTCCATTTTGAGATAAATTTGCAGGGACCTGAGTCGGAATAGCATTGCATCAAATAATCACTGTAACCCACTGTCACTTAAGTCAGACTTGTTAAAAGCCAGCCTCTAAGAAATGTATTGGAATAGCATGAGCCTTAGTTGCATTTGCGTTTTAATGGTTAATTTAAATAACAATGGGTTGAATGAGCATCGCTACAATGTAGGTAATCCATTTCTTTTGTCTTGCTGGGGTCAAAGCAAGTGGACTTTTTATTAAGACACAAATGGTCAAGTTTTTAATGAAACCAAAACTGATGTCTAGAGTACATCAGAAATACTAAAAGGGGCTCTGAATGTTGTTTGTACACTGACATTAAGCAATGCAAGAACATACATTTTTCTTAACGAAATATTGAGACAGTGATTAAAATCTTATTTTTAAATGAACAATTTGATGTGTATACACCCTGATATTTCATAGATTGAGAAAAATATTTCGCATTATATAAACAACTGTTAAGGGAGTCGACACTGGATTTATTTCACCTTCTGCAACACCATGCTAAGGGATGAAACTGACCTGGAGTGCTGGTATGGAATCAGTCACAGACAATCTTAAAAAAAAGGTAAGACACAATGTGACTTCTATTAAAGCACTTTTGGTTTGTTAAAGTTGATTGGGGAAGTTAGTGACACTGACATTTCTTTTTTTATTATGTGGCATTGTCCTAAAGTTTATCTAATGTTCAGACTTCCTGTTTACAACATTTTTAGGCACAAATGATTAATTTTACCCTGCTGCTGTTTTTTAATGAGGGAACTGGGGATTTTAGCCAAGAAAATGAGATCAGTACATTCATTTAAAAAGTGAATATTTCTAAAGATTTTAGTTTTATGTAAAATAAAGGCGACCAGTGTTTCAGGTTATAAAGGTTTTGTATATGTTAAAAATATTCTGTAATGGTTTAAGAGCATTGTGATACAAATAGCTTCTGCTTCACGTTGTATATGATTTCCAATCAACCATTAAACATAATGCACGCTTCCATATTTATTCTTTCATGGAATGGATGTAGGGATTGTTTTGTTTTGAGTGGATATGAATAGATGGAAAAGCTGAGAAGATTCAAATGTTATAATTGTTTTTTTTAAGCATCATTCTACTGACTAAGCAGTTTTATATTATTCGTTAAACAATGCTGAACACAGGAACAATTCTGTTCAAAGGTTTTTATGACAAATGTATCATTTATTCAAGTTAAGGTACAGTCCATAGATGATTTCCAAAATGTGCTTGAATTTCCTTTGGAAATCTACAGTATCTTTATAGGAGCTGCATAGCAAATGTTTTGTGAAAGAGACACAGGGATTGCTAGTTTTTAAAGTACACCTTGCTATGTTCGGCATTAAATCGTTGCCTTTTTTGAAAGAACTCATGATTGCACAGTGAATATTTTGTTACACCAAACTCCTCACAACACTGAATTGTGTTGTTTTTCTGTGATTTATTTGTTTTCCATGTGTGATGCCCGTGTAATGTGTTGGTCTTTGTAATAGATCACATTCAAATGTAAAATGAAAAAGCTTCTTAAGCTTAATGTTTTAGTGTTTTTCCCCCCTCAGAAAATGTTTGTTTATGTGCCAGTGCTTAAGCCATTACTACTCTATTGTAAAGACTTATTGTGTCGTCACTGGATGACGCGTTTTCTCATTGAGCTTTTTATACAGCAACTTGCAGCTGTGATTCAGTGGTTCAGGTCAGTTCTGTTCACATTGTGTGCAGTGGTTAGTCACAGTAGTGACGAGGAGGCTCAGCATAGTTTGTCATGGTAAACAGAAAGTGTGTTTAGAACATAGCGGACTTGACCACTATGCTTGTCATTTACATTTTAAGTCACTTTCACATTTTAAGACAAGACTCTGGATGTGGTGTCTGTCAATGTGTAACTAGATTTAGATGGAAGCTGTTCAACGGTTTCAGGACAGCAGGTAAACAGTCATGCATGGTCACTGTGGGCTTCATGCACCCTCTGTAACTGCATGTGCTATTGCATGGGGATTTCACTGTAAACGAAACAACATATACATTTGGCAGATGTTGACAAATTGTGTTTTTGTCTTAGTATATGTACATATTGTTTACTTTAAACATTACTCTTGTACCACATGATGTAATCCACAGGTGATGATGATAATGTGATGAGAACATCATGAGCAGATTTTTACTACAATATCCAGCAGAGACATAATCATTAAGGGAATACTAATCACCAAAGCTCATAGCAGCCTGGGCAGTGCAAATAATCATTAATTCTATGAGTATTTTGCATTGTATGCATATTATTGTCTTTAATTTATTAATCCAAGAAAACTAAAACAAAAAACAAACAAAAAAAACCTATTATGGTAACAGAGAAGTGTTTGGTGTGGGGTTTCTGTTCTGAATGTTGTATGGAGGAGACATGTAAGTGGGTGGGGAGTTAGTGACGTTCAATGAATGTATTGCAGAAGAGAAAATATTTGCTGGAATTGCTGGGCCAATGTGAATTTACATTTTCATTTGATCATTACAATAAATGCCTACTTCATTTGTAACATGTATCATTCAAGAAAACTGTTTTTGGCACACTAAAGTGAACCTTAATGTGTTAAATATGGTTCTCCTCATGCTGCTAAGTACATGACTAAAGACAATGGCTTGATTTAGCTCATATGATATCATTTGCCTTGAAAAGGCGATATACAGAACCATGTCGATAAATATTTGGCGTAAACTCTGCTATGCCAATTTTATTACTGACTTTCCCAGTAGTAGTTTCAGTGCTCAAAAGGATACAGTTTCCTAAAATCATATTTTAAAGCAATGTAGGACCACTCAAAGCACTTAACAATAATGCCTGCATTTTAAAGTCTGTATACAAGTGACAATGAAATTACAACAATGTGTGGTTTAGATAAGATATTGCCATTTGTTCACAAATGTTTATTTTCAGCATAACAGACATTCATGAATAAAAACTAGGCTATGCTTCCCATCTCTTACTGATTTACACACATGAGAGGGTTTGAACATTAGGAACTCCTCTGATTATAATGTAGTTCAGTACAACACCACCTTTAACTATGACCTCAATAATAAGTATACTGTATAATTGAATTTATACATTTATGACAATTTCACAAAAAACTGAAATATTTTGAGCTTCACAACCACAGATGTTAAGGCGGAAATGTTGCAGTGAATTGCATATAACTGTACAGGTGTACCTAATAATGTGGCCAGTGAGTGTAATTGACAACTTTAAGGATATTAATAAAACATTACTACCGCAGGTAATGTCTTACATTCGCCACCAGGGGGCACTGTTGTCCTGTATTTCAATTCCGTCTTACCTCTATTAACAAAGAAGTGGCCACTGTATCTTGTATCTTGTTGTCCAACAATCTACCATCCACAGTACTAGTGGAGGAAACTGGACATTTTTGGATGAAGGATGCACCTAAAAAGGTCTACAAACACAGTAATTATTGAGACAGTGGAAACCAAGAACATCAAGACACACTGTAGCAAGCTTCGGTGTACATTGTTATTGAAGCCACAGACCACCTCTGCATAATGAAGAGATAACTTCATTATGGAGGGTTAAGATTGTTGCTGGTTTCTATTGTTCACATAAATGGTGAAAGTTATTACATTTTCTCTTCATACAGACTTCAAAATCAACATTAGTACAGTACATTAACAAATTTTATTGTAAAAAACAACAACAAACTTTTACTGAATTCCTGATGTTTAGTGAGTATGGAGTCAGTGTCTGGTTAGTTGTCAGTCACGAAACAGTTCACTTTTAAACACTTTTAGTGAGAGAATTAATTACTCATGACTTAGTCCGTTTGAATGGAGGATTTTATCTCCATACGTTTGGCTCCACAGAAGGATCAAAGTGCAGGTTCATTATCAGTATAGATACTTTGACTGAGCTTGCAGTTTCTGGTTGAAGGACATTTTGTCATTAAGGCTCCCTTATCTACCTGTTTAAAGCATAATTGTACTTTTTGTAATTGTAAAATTTTCAATCCCTTGTTTTTCCGAGTCCCACATACTGTATGTGATTTCATTGGTTCTTCTCTTTGACCAGTCTTTTCTGCACTTACAGTATTTTTGAGAAAGTAAAATCATTTGACAGTTTTCATATCTTTCATCTGGACTGTGATTCTAGCGGCTCCTGCGGTGCGTGCTGCGTCAGCGTAAACTGTGCGTTTGATTAACGTCCTGCGTAGCACGAGTGGGTGGTGGATTGATAGTTGCTCGTTTTTAACAGGATGCTGCGCCTCTGGCGTGTGGTGCACCGTTAAAAGAATTTGTAGAATAACCTGTACCTCGCTGTAAAGTCCGTAAACGCTCAGGGGTGGAGGTGCTTTTATAAACTATCGGCCTACTTTGCAGATCCATCCGCCCAACCCTAATTACTACACAACTTTCCAGGAAAAAATATTCTTCGTGAACAGACATAGGCTATATGATAGTATAAATGCAGATTAATGCAATCTGATCAGAGAAGTCAAAGGTGCAGTAAAAAGTAAATACTTAATGTGCAGCTACACATATATTATGTGTGGACAAAAGTGGATTATATTATTTCTGCGAGTAAATCATAAGTGGGAAAAGTCACATATAATAATAATGAGCCCATTTCGCAGAACTAGGCTTCAGGGAATGGGATGTCCTCTCCACACAGATAAGATACTGCAGCTAATACGCCCTCTGTAAATCGACCAAGAAAGACTAGAGCTATAAAAAGGAGTGTTATCGGAATTCAGTATTATTCAGACATTGTTCACTATCAATAACGATGGCCACATTGTTTCCCAAGAACGCAGTGGAGAAGCCGGAGCCCTTACAGGCAGAAGTAAAAGGTGGGATTTACGCTATTGAATGACCAGCACATGCACTGACTGAAATGACAACAATGAAGGTTTGTGGTTTTCCGTGTTTCGTTTATAATAGGGACCATTCCCAGCTGGCTTCAAGGCACACTGCTGCGCAACGGCCCTGGCATCTTTTCTGTGGGGGACACCAGCTACAATCACTGGTTTGATGGGATGGCTATTATGCACAGCTTCGTCTTTAAAAATGGTTGGTAACGCCAGCTGCCCTGCAAGTCTTGTTTACTTTACAGCGGTTGATCTCTGACTTACTGTGATTGCACTATATGTCAGAGTGGGGAGAACATAGTACTTAACGCACACAAACGCAAACTAAATACAACTTTTTCTTACAGGTGAAGTGATCCACAGAAGCAGATTCCTTAGAAGTGACACATATAAAGCTAACATGGCTGCAAATAGAATAGTTGTGTCTGAAATGGGGACAATGGCGTATCCAGACCCCAGCAAGAGCTTCCTTGTCAAGTAAGCACATTCTTAATTGTATTCAGGACATTTGTACTTTATTTATTAGCTGCTTTTCTCTCATAATATTACTGTAGCATTCTTATTTTATTTATTTACAAATGTAGGCTCTAATATAATTGTTATATTTCTGTGCTTCCACATTTCTACAGGGTTTATTATTTATTTTTCTGTAACAGTGCAAGCGTTCATTTGATAACTTTGTTCTTCTGTAACTGCAATACTCAAATGACATGTTACAGTTTTGTAAAAATGGGTCAACACTGGGATGCTCAGGCTTTTGTTTTGGAGAAAGCACCTGCATTTTGTTCTTGAAGTGGATTTATTTTTGAGATCCCTCAGTGTGAAGATATCAGCTCTTTGTATTGGATGCTCCCCTACTTCAACATTTCTCCTTCTTCCATTTCAGGGCAGTTACCTTTCTCAACCACACAATGCCAGACTTTACTGACAATGGTGCAAGCAATTTCATCAAATATGGAAATGAATACTATGCTACCTCTGAAACCAACTACCTTCGCAAGATTGATCCCGTGACCTTGGAAACTCAGGACAAAGTAACATCATGTGTTGATTTTAGCCACTGTCAACACACAACCAAGTGAAGCATATTTTTAAGAGCTTATGAGTTGTCAAACTGTTTCACACAGGTAGACTACAAGAAATACCTGCCTGTAAACCTGGCTACATCCCATCCACATTATGACAAGGAGGGCAACACGTATAACATTGGAACTTCAATAGCAGAGAAGGGCAAGACTAAATACATACTGTTCAAAGTCCCCGCTGTATCAGAGAAGGGTATATAAACCCCGTAACCTACTGTACTTTGTCCTTTCACCTCTGTGCTTTCTCTTCCTATTTAAGCAGTTTGCACATTGAATTATTACGACACAATCACTCATACATTATTTACATTATTATGATTCAAACTTTGAAATATAGCAGGGCTTTTAATGAGAAATGGCCTTTAACAACAATACACTGTTACTAACATATATGTTGGGGATATTTTTGAAATACTTGTCTTTTGTTTTGTTTTGTTTTTTGTTGTTGTTTTTTTGCTTTTTACCTTTAAGATAAAGGCAAGAATGTCCCTGCACTGAAGAATGTGGAGATCATCTGCACAGTTCCCAGCCACTACCTACTCACACCCTGCTACTATCACAGCTTCGGCATAACGGACAACTACTTCATCTTCATTGAACAGCCTTACAAACTGGACATCCTCAAGACAGCCACTGCGTACATGAGAGGGGTCAACTGGGCAAGCTGCATGAAGTTCTACCCTCAGGAAAATGTAAGTGATTACTGCTGTCATGTATTCATTATTTATACTCAGCACAAGATTGGACACACTTTCCTACTGAACCGAATGGGAAAGTGTGTCCAAATATTTAACTAGTAGAGTACTGTATTTAAACAACTGAAGCAGGTGTAGACATCAGGAGATAAGAGTGTTATGTAATCAGTGTAGTGAACAGTAGGAAACTTACTGGCTGGATGAGACCAGATCAAACTATTAAACTTTACCATGTAATGTCTTTCTAATTGTTTATTTTCTTATCAGACTCTTATCCACCTGATAAACAGAAGGACTGGTAAAGAGGTTGAGACAAAGTACTATACTGGAGCAATGGTCGTCTACCATCATGTGAATGCTTTTGAGGACAATGGACATGTGATTGTCGATGTCATCGCCTACGATGATACGCGCCTATATGATATGTTCTACCTGAAGGAAGATGTACCAGGAAAACACCATTATGAAAGCTTTCCAAAACCAAGATACACAAGACTTGCACTTCCCATCCAAAGAGATGAGGTGGGAGTTTGAAAATATCTGATTTCATCCTGAAATGTTCCTGTAACACTTAACCTTAAATAGTTGTATGGGTTTTGCAGGGCATCGCATGTGGAGAGAACCTAGTGAAACTCAAATACACGACAGCTAGTGCTGTGAAGGAGAAGGAAGGCAAAATAATGTGCCAGGTAGAGGTGCTTTCTGAAGGTAAAACCACTGGCTCTTAAACAGAGAAAATCAACTAAATATTGTTCAAATATTTCTTTTGTAGTGAATAACAGGTCCATACAAATATAGAACCTGTCATTTTATTTCCATCAGACGTAGAATTACCAAGAATCAATTATGACTTCAATGGCAAGAAGCACAGATTTGTCTATGTGAACTGTGCTGAGGAAGGACAGTCCAAACAGGTAACATTTCCTGTTGTTTTTCATCTGGTTCTTGCATAACAGAACTCATGGGAATATATGTATTTGCAGTCTCATATGACTCTCACAGACTCTTAAAGAACAGAGATGTTAAATGCATATTGAGAAACATTCCTGGCAAATTTGTTATTACAAAAGTAGGAAGCAATTTGCAGAACTCAGAATTTCCATTTGGCACAGCAGATGGAAGGAAACGCTTAGTTCAGCTGTGAAGTACCAGCTTCCCTTGTACCTCACTGTATACAGTTCATGGTATCATGTGATTCAAAAGGAAATGACTTGGTTTTAGATATTTAGATATTTGTATTCATTCCCACTTGATACATTACACAGGAAACCTTTGGCTTTTCATTGAACATGAATGGTGTTTGTTTTTACACAGGGTAAAATCTAAGCAAAAGAAAAAATGTCATGCAAAAGTTATGATTGTTGTCTCACCAACAAAAAAAAAGGTTTTATTTGCTGAAATGTGTAAAGATGATTTATTTTACAGGTTAGGTGGCATGGTTGAATTGTAACCTTTGCAGGGAACAGTGGGATTCATCAGCAAACTACTACTTTAAATGACTTGTGCAGCCTTGCAAAAATAATTCTGTGTTTTGTTGTTGTAGATAGCTCAGCCAATTTAGCTAGTTAGCTAGGTACCTAATATATTAAAGTGATATAATATTTGAGAGAGACAATCAGAAAGGTTGTAAAATGTATTTTGACCCATGTTGCTAACTTAAAATGTCACAGCTGTAAGTATTGCCATTTATTACAACTTCTTACTTTAGAAGATAGCAGCCAAGACAGTGTGATTCTGTTTGGAACTGTTTGGACTCCTTATAGAGCCACTATAGATGTTGTCACTCTCAGTTAGGTTAGTCTACAAAGTGACTTAAGACACTTCTCTAACACAATATCAACAAAAGCTAAATATAAGCATACTAGAAGTACAGTTGTATTTGTACTTAGTCACTCAGTACACAAATTAATTCATTTCGAAAGCTTTGTATTAAACAGTTGCTTGAAGGAGAAGGCCAGTCATTTTCTATATTAACAGTAAACACTCACCATACAGTCATATTTTATATTTTATATTGCCTCCATGACTCTGAACAGCCATAACTTTTTACAGCGCCTGAATTATATAAGAGTCAGCTGCAGATGCATGTGATCTGTGGATATTTTTGACAAATATCAGGGTCTGGTGTTTTGTAATGAGGAAGCATGTCACCCAGTGTAGTGGTGTTTTTCCTAGATGTCTTTTTAAATGTTTTTGAACAACAGTGGATGGCATAGAAGAATAAGCTAATACAGGACTGACAGACATTAACAGTAGAGACAATTAATGGTTGGTTTTAGTCTCTGTATGGGGAGTGCTGAAAATGCTATTCATATAGAAAATGGCCTTATCCTTTAAGTCCTGTGATATGTTTACATTTATTTCTTATCAAAAATAAATACAGTTTCAACAGATCATAGTTGAGGTAACACCTTTGCCCTTCCTCTTGCTGTAAGAACCAAGAGTGCTGACTTTTATGCATGCTAACATTTACACTAATGTTACTGCCTTGCCTTGAATGAACTCAAAGCATGACTGTTTGTTATAGTTCTTCTTTTGACTGCAGCAGTGAGGAAACAAGCATGAATCATGCTTAAATGTGCTCAGAAAATCCAACTGTAGTCACTTAGCTGATTTAAGGAAATATGCTTTTGTATATTTATTTACTGGTTTAATCATAACCACAATCATTTCACAGAAATGCGCCATTGTGGTTCAATAATGAAAACAACATTGCATTCCAGTATAAAACAATGTCATGATGATCAGGGCTACGGGTCATTTAAATTTTATTTTGCATTAATGAGACAGCTTGTTTCTCAGTAACACTAAGGAGTATTAGCATCTCACTGATGTACCTCTGTTAAAAGTTACTTTATTTCCTAATGATTAGTGAAACTCACCTTTCAGTCCCACTACAGTAAATTCAACCCAGCTAATACTATAAACAAAGAGCTGGTACCAATTCCCTAATGTGCACAACCGACTGAGAGAACTAATACATCCTATTTTACAACTTCATGTCTCTTGTCCATGCATACGGCTTGTCGCTGGGACAGAATACTTTGTGGTTACAGTGGTTGTCAGCAAGATAAGATAATCACTGAATAGAGAGGAAATGATTTGGCATGTGCTTGAATGAACTGATGAATAGAAAATGTATACTAAAAAAGTTAAATATTTTGTTTCTTTCAATATAGCCCCAATACATACTATTTTCTGTTTGTTTTAATTAATAAGCAGTTATAATATTATCATATAATTATTGATTGCAGCTTCTGTCGTTACTGTTTGTCTGATACAATAGGAAGAACTCAGAGTGCTTGTTTTTAATACTTTGTTATGAGCTAAATGAAATCCAGTGCTATTTTGTGCAGGGTAAGATGTAGTTTTACTTTACATTATTTGCTATATACACATTGTAACATTAGGAAAAATAATTGAGTACATTTGTATCTTGATCCTTTTCTAAATCCACTCATTTACATAGATTGGGAAGTTTGACACAGAAACCAAGGAAATGGTTCACTGGAGTGAGGACAACTGCCAGCCTTCAGAGCCAGTGTTCATCCCCAGGGCTAATGGAGAGTCAGAGGATGATGGTGAGAAAACCATGTGGTGTAAAATATACCTGGATATGAACATCAGACTAAAAACTTAAGATCCTTCACTGGTTACATTCCTACTAAGATGGTATTTTTAAGTAAAAAGAAAGTTGAAGGCCTGTCATTATTGGATGTGATTCATTAGATTTTTGATTTTACTTTGCATTCACATAACACCCATTTTCTTTCAATTTGCAGGTGTGGTCTTAACATCAGTTATCAACTTCAACCCAGGCCAGTGCAGTTTCATCCTGGTTCTTGATGGCAGAACATTCAAAGAACTGGCTAGAGCATATGTGACCACTGAGCTCCTCAAGGACATGCATGGATTTTTTATCCCACAAGGAAATCAGTAATTTGGGTATACTGTATATAAAACTGCCTTTGGAGAACTTCCAGAAAACCTTCCCCATATGGTATAGGGTAGGTATCAAATGTACACAACTGAATCGGGTTGTTTTTAGACAGTAGTGTAGTGAGGAAGCACATGGTTTCAGGGACAGCTTAATGTGTGTCAGATTATGGGGACTGTATCGAACAAAACATTGATATATTTATTAAGAAACATGCAGATTTATTGATATTGTGTTGCCAAAATGTCACTATTTGTTATGCAGTCTACTTGTTCCCATTATTATGCTATTGTTCTGCTAAAACTGCTATTGTACTGTATGTGTTTATTATTTTCACTAAAATAAAATAAAATAAAATAGACTCTCATACCAACCAACACTCCTTGTGGAATGAACTTTATGTAATTAGTATATATATTTATGCAATTTGTTAACAAAGCTCTCTTGCAAAATAGAGCTTGATTCCTCTATAAATAAAGCTGAACTAGGAACAAGAGAGCGTTATGTGATTGTTTATGCTTAGTGCGGAAATCAGGCCGAAGACAAAGAAGATTACTCAACTTCTAGTGCTTCCTAGAAGCCATGGAAAACTTTTGGTTTCACTTTTTAAAGTTCTTGCAGATGTTTGTGTCTGAGTTTCTGGCTGACTTATTGTGTATGATGTACAGCTGTGTCACTGCTCCTCTTGTGGTACTCTCTTCATTCTTCTTTTGTTGAGTTCATTGGCAGCAAACTGATCAAAGATTCATTATTGACACTAAAAAAGTGTCTCATTTTGGTAAATGTCATCAAAAACATGTCCGTCAGCCTCAGGTCCCCAGGAGCAGCACTGAGTTGTTATGTTTTTGGCATAGTGGCAGAACTGCATTCAACTTCTGTGTACATCTTGTGACACACAATGGCTCAAAAAGACTTTTCCATAGAGAATCACTGGAAAAAGAGAGGCTATAAAACAGTAATAAAATTTTTCTGAGCATTACAAACCCTGCAGATTTTTATAATCACAATTTGATCCACTGGGTCTAATATCATTTGGAAAATCCAGTTTTCCTTGATATAATGCCACATAATCAAACTTGGGATGCTGAATCTGGAACGTGTGTTCAGTTAGTTACAGTACACAATTAAAGGTGTTAAAAGTTGGGTGAAAATTCCTATAGACACCTGGTATTCATGGTAAATGATGTCTTGAACTATGATATAGAGGATGAGCAGCCTGACAGCTCTCAGAAATGAAGCTACTGTGACTCGATTTCCCTCTGGTGGCTGGTTGCAGTATAGGTCATAAATGGTATACTTGTGTAGGTCTCTAGTATTTCTCAAGATAAGACATGGAAATATCAGATAATACAGCAACAAATGGTGTATATCCTGTTCTTTTGACCTGATTAGAACTGGTCATACCTGACCAATCAGTGTAGTAATAAAAATGCCAGATTGCGACATTATTTACCTGCATTTCTTTACAACTGGATTATGCATGACATGAACAAACAAGCAGAAAGTACAATACATACAGCAGGCTGCCCCCCTTGGGATGTGTAGCTTAACAGGGTATAATGTATAGCACGATCTCCAAAATGAATAGAGCTAAGGAGGAAGAACATGTGTACAATATTGATGCAACATATCTGGGCCACTTGTATATACGTATATATAGGGTCCTATATTGCCTTCTAGTAATCCTACGTACTCTGACAAAAAATTGGAATTGAGCATGGATCAAGCCTTTGTGTCCAATCCCTATCTTGGGTTCCCAGGAAGTGTTTCAGCCACATCAATAGCTGTTGATTCAAGGTAAAGGTGGGAGGAAAGACAGAATTTTAAATAAATGGAAACACTTGAATGGCCTGAATGGTCTCTTTTTTCCTTCTCTCAATAGGCTATGTGAGTTTGTGTGAAAGAGAGAGAAAACACTGATCTTGTTGTGATGGAGGCACAGAGGCTGCTCTCTCACAAAATCTAGCTATGAATTACTCCATTCAGCTAACACATGAGCTCAATATGCCAACATGAGAACTTCCGAGGCGTCAGACAAGCTAGTTGCGATTGGTGGCCAAAGATCGGTAAGGCCAATAAATATCATTTTATTCCTAACCCAGAAAACAATTGTCCGTTAGGACTAAGTTATTATGTCGCTTGTTGAAGGATAAGATAAACTAAAATAATCTACGGTATATGAGTACTACATAAATTAAAGTAATTTAGGCAGAAATTCTCGTGATACAACCCACTCTATAGCCTAATCCACAAATATGCAGAGGCATAACGGAATTTGCCAAGTAAAAAATATGTAGGCATTGCAACACCATCAAGAACTTACAAAGATTCAGCATGTTACTCTTTTCGGAATGTAATTTAATAATGTTGCATTATGAACAGGTAATGTTACGTATGTTATGACGGTGTTCTCTGTGTTTTAGCGAAGCCGGAAGTAGGCAGGAGTGAATCCTCTCACTTCCTACTGGCTGTGTAAGGCCATGTTTAACAGCAGCTGCAGGAGACAACGGATAGCATAACGCTAATGATGGAAGAATTTGCAGGTGAGAAAACAACCGTCCATGTACTTATTTTACCAGTACGGTGGTAAAGTCGAGTCCACAGCCTCTCAGTTTCAATATCTCTTATTCTTGGAGCGTAATACTGCTTTCATCCGCCAGGTTTTGAAAGCGACCTCCTTTTGTTTGGGAGTTAGGCCGTGTGATGCCTGGTAACGTCAGGTCCAATATGAAGCTAAGTCAGCTGCTGACTGTCTCTTAATAGGTGTCATAGTACATTAGCCACAGTAGCTATCCAGTGTTAGCATGATGTTCACTAATGAACCAATGGATGAAACCACTATATTGTATCGGATGTTAATTGTATTGGTTATTTCCCATCGTTATAAGTAAGAATTTGGAAATAGTTGGAGGAATCCCCGAAACAGTTAGCAATACAGGCAAGTAATATGGTTTCTTTTTAGCAGTGTAACTAATATGTGATAGCAGCTGGTAAAGATGGAGCTAATTTCAACTACCTTGTATGCCTAGAATTTGAAGTACTGTTGGGTAGCTTGTGAATTTTACACCAATAAATCGTGTGATGTATTTTTCTCTGAAGTGTAGTGTTGAAGTAGTAACAGAAAATGAAAATACCCAAATCACAGATGCCTCAGTTATAATTAGGTACAGTACTTGAGTAAATGTGCTTAGTTACTGTCCACCTCTGCCCACACAAATCATTTAGTGATACCTAACACCGTTTGGGACTGGCTCCCATATACATTTCCCCTAAGTGGTCAGTTAATGGCCCAGTGCTACACTTGAGTGGAAACTGGCAAACAAACTGGACACATGCAAAACCACCCACAGAGTCCTCACCCTTAAAGTCTTTCCTCTTATAAGTTAAAACTAGACTGCAATATTTGAAAACATTTAAACTAAAACACAAATCTCACCTTTGTGTGGCTTGCTCTAATGCATTTTCCTAAAGCTAGTCGTCTTCTCCCTGTTCTGCTGTCCCGAGGGGAAGTTTACTTTAAGTTGACAGTGTCATGGGCCCATTTACCATTAAATCCTCCCTGACAGTTAACCCACCCTACTCCAAAAATCTGTCTTGACATGGTAAACTAAAAGTTTGCCCTGAAACATTGTTGAATCATGACCTGGATCCCTGTTGTCCTACAAATCAAGTGGCCATTTCAGTTGTTTAAAAATTCTGGTTAGCCTGTTATGAAACATATTGCCTTAGTGTAGAGCCATAGATTGTTTTATTAGCCTACCAGTTGCTGAATAACCCAAGTAACTTGTCCATGCTATGTATGAACCTTGTACTTTACGGATACAGAAGAGCTTGCATTACGCAGCAAATATTCACAGTAAATCAGAGCTACACTAGTGTCATTATCTTCTAATGTGCAGATTATTTGCTCAACTAATTATTTTTAACGAAGAGTCCCATGCTGCCAGGCGTGAGTGTCGCAGGGCTGAGCACAAGTGGAAAAAGGACAAACTACAAGTGTCACTTCAGATACTTAGAGACTCTTGGCATGATAATCAAAAAACTGTGAAAAATCTTAAGAGAAATTATTTCTCTAATATCATTCAGTCAAACTGTCATAAGCCTCGTGTGTTGTTTAAAGTTATTGACTCAGTTCTGAATGTCCTTCAGGTTGCCTGTTTTGAGTCTTCCCCCGCCCTTTGTCAAAAATTTTTATTCTTTTTTAATGATAAGGTTCTTTCTACCAGAGCTCAAATTTTACCTCCTGTTTACGATTTTTCTGTTTCCCGTCCCTGCTTTGCTGTCTTCGACCAGTTTGAGTGTGTGTCCTTATCCTATTGTCAGGAGATTGTTAGGTGACTGAATTCCTCTGGTTCCCCAAATGATGCTGTTCCTCCTCGTTTTTTAAAGGAAATCTTTCCGGTTGTGGGGCCATTTGTTCTCTCCAGTATTAATAACAGTTGATCCTCTGGCCTGGTTCCAAAGATGTTTAAACATGCCGTGGTGCGGCTGCTGATTAAGAGACCTGGGCTCGATCCCACAGTGGTCTCAAATTTTAAGCCCATCTCAAATTTGCCATTTTTCTTGTGTGGTCCTAGTGCTCTTAGATTTGACTGCTGCTTTTGACACAGTGGACCACAATATCCTTATTTCTCGTTTGGAGCACTGGGTGGGTATCCGGGGGATAGCTTTGGAATGGTTTCGATCTTATCTTAAGGATAGATCCTTCTGTGTGAAACTAGGAGATGCTGTATCTTCCTCTGAGCCCCTTGTGTATGGGGTACCACAAGGCTCGGTCCTTGGATCCCTTCTTTTTTCCCTTTACCTTCTCCCACTTGGTACTATACTCAGGAATCACAGTGTTTCCTTTCATTTTTATGCGGATGATTGCCAGCTTTACCTACCGGTTAATAAGATGAGCTCTTCCGTTAGCACACTTCTTGAATGTCTGGATGACATTAAATCTTGGCTTGCTTTTAACTTTTTAAAGCTGAATGAGGATAAGACTGAGGTGATTGTATTCGGTGATTCTGTTGGTTCACCATCTGTTGACTTGGGCTCATTGGCTCATTATAATCAAAAGAATATTTTAAATTTAGGTATTAAGATGGATCCAGATTTAAGATTCGACAGCCAAATTGCAGCTGTCATTAAATCTAGTTTCTTTCACCTCAGACAGTTGGCTAAAGTAAAAGCATTTGTCTCTAGACAGCATTTTGAGACGCTTATTCATGCTTTCATTACTTCCCGTTTGGACTATTGTAACTCATTGTATCTTGGGGTCGGTGAGTCTTCTATCAATCGCCTCCAGATGGTCCAAAATGCAGCAGCGCGTCTTTTAACAGGTACAAGGAAATATGAACATATCTCTCCAGTTTTGGCCTCCCTACACTGGTTACCTGTCCATTTTCGGGTCCATTACAAAATTTTACTCTTTGTCCTTCATGGCTCTGCACCATCCAACTTAACTGATTTGCTTCATTGGCATACACCCACACGCTCTCTGAGGTCAGCAAATCAGTTTCTCTTGAGTGTCCCAAGAACGAAGCGTAAGCTTAGAGGCGATCGAGCCTTCGCAGTTGCTGGTCCTAAACTCTGGAATGATTTACCGCTGTCCATTAGACAAGCCTCTACCCTGTCTGTTTTTAAGTCTCTTTTAAAAACTCATTTATTTTCCCTGGCATTTTGATATTTTTGTGTTGATTTTAGTCAATTGATTGTATTTTATATTGTTGTTTGTGGTTTATAACTTATATTGTTTTATTGCAATGTACAGCACTTTGGTCCACTCTGGTTGTTTTTAGTGCTTTATAAATAAAGTTGGTATGGTATGGTATGGTTTTGTTTGCAGACTGGGTGGTTAACTATGATAGAAACAAAATGATAAATAGTGATAAATGAAAGGTTGAGGATGATTAAGTGTGACTTTAGTTTTATATGTTTTAAGAGCAACACACAAAAATATTTTAAAAATTTTGGCAATGTCAAACGGTAGCCAGGCGATGGTTTCTCACATGGTTTTATGGTGAGAAACTAGTACCTGTGAACATTTACATAGACATGCATACAGGAAGAGAAAGACAAACACAAAAATTAAAGGCCTTAACTTAAGATTTGGCATACTACACAGTCCAATAAATCAAGTGACAGTGGGACAGGATGTGGTGTCTCTCCATTATCCAACCCACCTCCATGACTGTATTCCATTTGCATTTCTTCTTTTTACAAACTTTTTTCAAATTCAGTTCTGTAAATCTGTAAACCACATAGTAAAGGTTATAGGAAGCATTTCTCAAGCTGTGAGTTATCATTCATACAGCCAGCCATAGCTGAGGTCTTGTCTCTTCTGAAAGTCCAAAACAAAATCATAATTTAGGGTGCTGTTTTTGCTACACACAGAAATATATCTGTTATTCTTGCAGATGGTGAAGCGCCTCCCAGCGATCTGGTTCAGTGTAGCACCTGCAGCAGATGTTTCTTCCGCAATGTCCTGGTAAACATCAGGTCCCTGGTCATCATGTCTAACATAACAGAGATATGAGATAAAGTAGATGTAGACGCCAGAAGAAATATACAATGGTATATTTGACATTATACAGACTTTAAGATTGAGACCACCCAGCTCCTCCTCTCTGCCTATCTATAGAGGACTGAGGGTGCGTATATACTTGTTTGTGAGGACCAGTTTGAGTTTTTTACAATGGGAGTGAGGGCATTTTGACTGGTCCTCACTTTCTGACACACCTTCAAAGGGTTGTCTGATAGTTAAGACTTTTAGGGGTTAAGGTTAGACTTGGGTTTGGGCTAGAGTTGATGGGTAAGGTTAGAGCAAGGGGCTAGAATGCATTATGTCATGGAGTGTTTTCACAAAGCTGTACAAGTATGTGTGTGTGTGTGTGTGCATGCTCAAGCATGCAGCTGAGATGACACAGGCTGAAGCAACAAACTTTGGAGGGTACTACTGATGTAAATATAAGTGGATCAGACTCTACTAGGTGCCCCATATAATAAAATAACTTGGATTGAGATAGAGGTAAACAAAAATCACTTGATCCACCTTCTAAGAAAGAAATGACAAATACAGAGAGTATTTACCTGTCAGTTGTAGTCACATAAATCATATTTTTCTTGCTTTCTAACACTCTCAAAAAATATTTGACAACCCAAAATGGCAGCTAGGATAAAAGGTACAAAAATCTCAAATGACGTCCATTGTTTTGAAAACATGTACAAAAAGATTGTTTTGATGCATTACATTACATTGTGCATCTTTTTGTCTCTCTGCAGCAGAGGCATGCAAAAATCTGCCAAAAGTCAGCAGCCAAAAAGAGGAAGGTTTTTGACTCTAGTAGACAGAGAGCTGAGGGCACAGACATCCCTGTGCTGAAACCAATCACACCAAAGGTAAGCCAAATAAATATCGGTGCTTTATTTGACTTTTAATAGGAAGAAGAAACTGCCCAAAGTTGTAAATTCCAGTGACTTCTAAACATATCATAGCGCCACCTAAGAGTGTGTGAAGAACACTCTATTGTCTTGTGAGGCACCCTTCAGTCACAACGTTCATCCAATAGTGAAAAAACAAGTAGATTAGTCTTATTTTGATTCTTTATTTTGGCGTAACAGGGTGTTTGATCTAATGTGTGGATTAGTGGTAACCAGGTTACTACAGTGGATGTAATTGCATTCCCCACTCGCGTAACCAGGTTTTGCTCAGTAACCAGGTTACCCAAGTGCATGTAAACTAACACTGCATGTACTCACCATAGAACTGTAGAGTTTGGTTTATGGCTCTGCCTTCAAAGAGGCTGTCAGTAAGTCTCCAGGCACTTAAGGTCGCTCTGGGTAACCAAGACTTGCTAATTGTTTTGTGTCCAGCTTGAAGCCTGTTGCCTGCAAATTATTAAGATGTGAGAAGATGTGATGTCAAACGTTCATTCTGTTGTCTTGGCTTCAGCTAACCACTGCATAATCTGTTTTGTGACATGAACAGGACATATTTCCACTTATGATTTTTTGTGTATCACTTTTTTAGCAATTTGAATCACCTTAATAAGGAGCCAAAACTAATTAAAATGTTGATTGAGTTGTCGGAATATATCATGTAGTCAAGATCTTAAAGAATGAGCCTTATGCTGTAAGTAGTGCACAATAGAAGGAAAAACTGAACATTTGTCCGGTAGCTCATCAGCAATAAGGACACATCCAGTTCAAACCATGATAGGACATCAGAATGGCAAGCTGCTTGTGGTGCAGTTATTACATTTGTATTGCTTCTTGCCAGGCAGAGCCCCCTAAGAAGCCGTCCAACTGGCGCAAGAAACATGAGGACTTCATTACTACCATCCGGGCTGCCAAGGCCCTCACTCAGGTCATGAAGGACGGAGGACCATTACCCCCACCACCTCCTCCTAGTTATGACCCAGGTAACACATACAGGTGGCAAAAGAAGAGTTCAAAATTCCAGTAGAGAGGTGTAAGAAACTCACTGATGGTTACAGGAAGTGACTCATTTCAGAGGGTATGCTACCAAGTACAAGGTGTCCAGTACATTTTTGGAGAGCTTTACGGAATAGATCAGATTTGGCTTTTTTTTCTAATTTTTTTGTGTTGTTCCATTGCAAATAAAAGAAATAAACATGTAAATACCAAAGAATTTGTGATTGCAACTGTTTTCTGAGAGAAGTGGTGCCTTAGGTAACAAAAATGCAGGGGTGGCAATGTTTTTGGCCATGGCTGTAGCTTTGTAGTGAGTGAAATTAACAAAGAAACTTAAAAGAAATAAAGTAAAAATTTAGCTATTATCAGTGTTAACCTTTATAATTATGTTGACAACAAACAGCAGCTTATGAAGGCTCATAATTCCTTTCTAGACAGTTCATAACTCACCGACTCGTATTTCTAAATATTTTTTGACATACTAAAATAGGAGGAATTAGTTAGCATTGGTGAAAAATCATAAATTCGGGGTGGAAATGAGGAATCATGAGTGAAACTATACTTTTTTTACCATACAAGTCAGATATTCCATTTATGGGTGTTTTCTCACCACCTCTTCGCTCTTCAGACTATATCCAGTGTCCTTGCTGTCAACGGAGATTTAATGAGAATGCAGCTGAAAGACACATCAAGTTCTGCCAGGAGCAGGCTGCCCGTATGCCCAACAAGAGCAAGTTAGGAGTTGCTAAGAAGCCTCCTGGCACACAGGTACACACATGGATAGGCTGCAGATGTGACTGTGCATGCACAGGAACAATTTGTGTTTTTGTTGGAAAGTATTCTCTACTTAGTTTTCTTTAGTGCCAGTTCTTTTTAATTAGGTGGTGGTGTTCATAAATCCAGAACAATTCCTTTTCCCTTATAGGTGAAACTTCGACTTTGCACCAGGCCTACAATTATTTGTCACCTTAGCAGTATCTATGGCTCATGACTGGGGGCCTAATATGTCAGCCAGTAAAGACAGTCCAAACAAAGTTGGTTAGAGCTCTGCTTTCTTCACAGTAAAGAGAAAACCTTGGTTATTAATCATCCTTGTCTCTTAGTTTCCTCAGTGTGCTGTGGTCAAGTACATTTTTAAAATATTTGTTCTGGTTTTGTGCAGTTCTGTCAATTTTTCCATTTTTTAAAATAGTTTTCTCAGACTTTCTTGCTCATAACAGCTTAAGACCTTTTTCGACCTGCCTGTAGAGCCCAGTGCTTTGCATGCCATGTCTCATGTTTTTTTTATTCTTTTATTATTGTTGCCTCCTTATGTCTTCAGTACAAGCCTCCTGCCCTTGTAAAGAAGGTGAACTCTCCTGCTGTATCAACAATCTCTTCATCCACTTCTCGTTTACACCAGAGATCAGACCTTGGACAGCCCACTGGTAAGCCAGCTGTGTTGATCATGCATCACCAGAGTCGTATTCATTACTGATAGTTCTATTTATTGGTGATAGATTTTGAACAATCAAGGCTAGGCTAAGTTTATTACATGGGCAAAAGTCCTATACATACGGTCCTGTATTTCACTCTTTATTTCTCTCACCCCCTCTCTTGCTCTAGGAAACCCCTCCAGTAAGGCCTCCTCCACAGATTCACTGAAGAGTAATCCCTCCCGCCTTCCAGGCATGCCTTCAAGGTCAGTACATGCACACAGTGTTTTTAATACTGCAAATTAGCCCAGAAATTGTTCATTTGGTTTGACTATGTCTGATGGGTACCTTTTACTTATTACTTTGCATGCAGCGATGTCTTTTCAAGTCTTTGTTAGTTTAGTTTAAAGTCGTATAACTAGATTTACAATGTTAGTTTCTAATAGATGACTGGGTATTTTCTTCTTTTTAAAGGCTTGCAAAGTTTTGTTTTTCTTGAGTTTCATTTTTAAGTACATTTGAGTGACAAACTTATTGCTGGGACTGAAAATTAAGGTAAATAAATTAAAATACATTATTATCAACATTGTGACTGACCACTGGCCCTCTATGTATGCCACATCAATAATAATGTGATTATAGCAGCTCAATTGCCTGGTTTGACCTTGCCCTGCAAGTGGATTGTGTTTGATGCCTTCATGTCTCTATTCTTTATTTTTCTTTCCTTCTCTTGCAGTGTGCGAAGCAAGATTCAAGCGGCGAGCTCTGGCTCTGTAAAGAGCACTGAGTCTGTAATAGGAGTCAACAAGAAGAAAGTAGACACCTACAGATCTAGGTGAGCTAATTTATGAAGATGTTTGCTCCACAGAAAGCTGTATGAGCATGAATGAAAAGCAACAGAAATACAACCGCCATACAGTCTTGCTAAACTCTTATGGCTTGCAGTTGATAATGTATTGGATACAATTGTAATAGTAAGTCCAAGAATACTGGGTTATAGAAGTTGATAGACCTGAGAGCAGAGTTGCAGTTTACAGCCTGCATGTGCCAAATGAATCGCATAGTTTGTGAGTGGGTAGCCGACCTCTCATTTACCACCACCGACCTATCAGTGACATAATCAATTGCCAGCCTCGACATAGACAGGCTCCTACGATTTCCTGTTAGTCTTAATTTTGGTACATTCACTGTGGCATAGTAAATTCCACCAGCAGACATGTGTTTGGACACAACCACAACATTCTGGGAAGAGACAGAAACTCAGGGTTTGTTGAAGAAAACCTGCTTGTAGACAGGATGTGTTCACGGAGTAAGTTACCATAGGAACTGACTTGGTGTTAAACTAATCTCTGTTTTTGGAACTGAAACCTCACGGTAAGCAACTCAGGAATTTTACTGTACCCACTTTTTGGAATAGCCCCAGGACAGCAATGATTTTCCCTCGTTTAGCAAGTTAGCCCATTCACTTAGACAAACATAATGTGCATAGATAATAATCTTGCCACTTGGTTGTCATTGTTAAATGTCTCAGGAATTCTGTCACCGATGGGAAACAAGTTGGCAATGGTGGAATGAAGAGCAACGTCTGCCACGCTTGTGGGACCAAGTATCCTGTAGAGTCCGCCAAATTCTGTTGTGAGTGTGGGGTCAGAAAGATGTGTATCTGATCAAAAGAAGGAGAAAGTGGAGGATGAACCAGTACTCAAGGTGGTATCCAAGATATTCACAAAAACTTTGCATCCTGCAGTATTCATTAGGTGCATTTTGCAAAAAAAAAAAAAAGTTGCCGTTTCCCTTACAAATTGCTGTAAAACACAAGTAAAGTAAATGCAAATAAATCTGTTACGGCT